CCTTGGCTTGGCTTGGGACAGCGCTTTTTAACTGTGGAAGCAGCCAGCCTTTCGTGTCCCGGCAGCATGTCTCAATAACAAGATGACGTCATAAGCGGCAACCCGGTCTATTTTTGGCGCATCCGTGCGTGCTATATTTCATCAACGGTCTTTCGCGTTCAGTTTTTTCGATGTGACCTTTTGCGATACGTTGCTGCCCTGGCAACGGGGTGTCGAAATTGCCAGTGCTAGCGCCGTCTCAGGCTCGTCGTCTAATGATTCCGGTTGCACACAGATCCGCCCGTGTTTTGCGGTGGAGTCCTGGCTTTTGATCCTTGTGAGGACATTTGCTTCCATTAGGCCCTGGTACACAGAATAGACCGCCCATTCCGAGCACCTGGTGTTTCAGTGAGACCCAGTCTCGTGTTCCCGCGAGGCCGTGACTGGTTGGCCATGCCGCAGGTATAAGCTGGAATGTCAACAGGGCCGTTCCGGTGGGTGATCCGGCGCCGCTACAAGCACTTCAGCAGCCTGCACAAGTCGCTGAGGCTCTTCCGCACGGCCATGCGACTGCCGTTCCCCACGCGGCACCACAAGCTGCGCCGCAAGACCTACATGCAGGGCAACAAGGCCAAGGATCAGCCGGCAATCCCCAGGTGAGGAGGCGGCGGCGGAGCGGAGACGGTCGGAGCCGAGGCGGCCCCCTGGCAGGGACGTGACGTGATGGTGCCCAGGTGAGGAGGCGGCGGCGGAGCGGAGACGGTCGGAGCCGAGGCGGCCCCCTGGCAACGACGTGACGTGATGGTGCCCAGGTGAGGAGGCGGCGGCGGAGCGGAGACGGTCGGAGCCGAGGCGGCCCCCTGGCAGGGACGTGACGGGACGGTGCCCAGGTGATGGTACGGAGACGGTCGGATGCGCACAGCGTTCCACTCCAAATGTCTGAGGCGGCCGGGCTCTGAGATCAGTACCCGAAGTGCGCAGAGTGTTTAGGAGACTCACCCTCGTGGCCAGTGCACCTTGACCTTCGCTCGCCGTACACTCAGCGGGCTCTCCAAAAATTAGCCACTTCTCTGCGGACATATATAAATATTAGCGTGGTTGGTTCCCGTTAAACATGAATGAAGGGTTCGTGTGCAACGGTGCCAAAATCAAATGGACCTTATTTATGTAGCTTGTTGGCAGCTGGCAAGGGCAATTTGTCTTGACGTATGTGCATGGCGTATGTTGTCGCAGAATACCGACTTCATTTCTGGGTGGGCCCTGTCCACGCGGCCACTATATTTGAGGTACTCTTTAAGCTGTCATCCGGCCATGTGCGTGCCGTCCGGCCGTTCTGTACACCCAGCGGGTGCCGAGGCCGCTGTCTGGCCTTCCGCACCACAGCCGGGCGCCCTGCCGCCAGGATGCCGAAGCGCGGCGACTCGATGCTGACCGAGGACGAGCTGCCCGAGCGCATGAAGCAGCTGGAGGAGTACATTAACGCCGTGCTGCGCTCGCGGCTCTACCGCAACCACCACGACACGGTGAGGCGGGGAGGCGGCGCCGAACGCTGCGGGATGGCTCAGCTCCGCAAGCGGCGGCTCGGAAGTCGACGGGAAAGCGCTGAGAGGCTGGTGGTGGCGCGGTGTGTTTGCCAGGGGTGTGACGTGCCGTCTCAGCGACCGCTGAGGGTGTCAGCGCCGTGGCGCCGGCGCGCGCTGACCTGCCGTGACCGCCCCGGCAGCTGGAGTTCCTGGAGGTGTCCCAGTGGTCGTTCGTGCACGAGCTCGGCATCAAGGGCAAGGAGGGCCTAGTGCGCAAGCGAGTCGGCAGCAAGCAGGGCAACCGCGGCCCCGTCTACTGCGGCCTCTGCTTCAAGTGAGTGTGGACCGGCAGGAGCGTCGCTGCAGAGGGCCGCGGCTAATAGCGGCCCGGCCCGGTCTCCGCGGCGCCGCCGGGCGGCCGGCGGCGGGGCCGTTCGGCGCGGCTGATGGCGCCTCGGCCCGGTCCCCGCGGCGGCGCCGGGCTGCCAGCGGCGGGACCGTTCGGCGCGCGCGCACCTGCGCCGCTGGCGTCTCCCATCCTGGGGTATTGTTCGCCCGCGTGAAAGGCTGCACTGGGATGACGCCGCCGGCGCTGGTGTGCCGCGGCCGCGTGCTGATCAGGGGTGTCCGTGGAACCGGCGGTGGCGGGGTCGATGAACGAGAAACGTGTTGCGTCTGGTGGCCTCGGCACCACGCGAAGGGCACTGTTGACTGAGTGCGCCGCTGACCATCCTCCTCCCGACGTGCTCTCCAGGTGCCGCAAGTGCGCGGCCAACTGCTTCACGCTCTGGCGGAAGCGCTGGCTGATGATCAAGGACACGTACGTGGCGTACGTGCGGCCCCGCGACGGCTCGCTCCACTCGGTAAGCGTCTCCGTTGTGTCCCGGTGGTGGCCCTGACAGGGGCAGGGGCAGCGGTCAGTCCAGCCGGTCGGTAGCAGTATTGCCGGGCGAAGACGAAGCCGTGTATGTCCGGCTTCCCGCAGGGAGGCACGTGGTTTGGGCAGTGCTTGACAGAATGTCGCCGATGACAGTGATGACGGGCGGTCCCGTTGTTCACAGGTTCAGTGATATTTGTTGTGGTTAGTGGTTGGCGTTGTTTGTTGTTGACGATTGTTGTCGGGTCGATGGCGGCAAATCCTCGACGTCGACCGTATGGGCTGTGCGTCCGTCCGCGTACCCTGTGGTGACCCGTGCGCCGCCCGCTCCCCGGGGCTCAGGTGATGCTGAGGATAGCGGCTGGGACGTGAACCGTGGCATCCTGGGCTCGGACACGGCCAAGTCGCTGACCATCGTCAACTCCAGCCGCAACCTGCTCGTCTCCTGCTGGACCAAGCGCAAGGCCAAGGAGTGGATGGACGCGCTGAAGCTCTCCTACGAGAATTACGGTGAGCGGGTCCGAGAGATCCCTGCGCACGCCGACAGCCCACCCACTCCGGCCCACGCCCACAGCCCGCTCGTCCCCACACGCCGACAGTCCACCCACTCCGGCGCACGCCCACAGCCCACTCATCCCCATACGCCCGCAGCTCACCCACTCCGGCGCACGTCCATAGCCCACTCATCCTCACACCCACAGCCCACCCATCCCGGCGCCATCCCGGCGCACACGTACAGACCACCCATCCCGGTGCACACCCACAGCCCCCCCCCCCCTCCGACACGCCCACAGTCCACCCATCCCGGCGCACGCCCACAGTCCACTCCATCCCGGTGCACACGTACAGACCAACCATCCCGGCGTACACCCGCAGCCCGCCCATCTCGGCGCCTGAAGGCGTCTCTTCCAGCGTGTTGGACGCTTGTGCATAGGCCTGCGCTACAGTCCATGCCCCTGCGTACAGCATACCGCCGCCGCATGCATCATGCTTTTCGACAGTCACTGCCACTGGACGGACTTGCTTTTCTCTCACATCTCCCAACTGGTCATGCTGCACAGTCTCTTAAAGTAGAGAAGTGCAGGTAATTGTGCTGCAAGTTTGAACGCCTAACACACGACTTATTCTCGTCATGTAGTGAGCGATCAGTGGTGGCTTATCGATTGGAGCTCTTTTGCATGCCGGAATGTTCAGGTCAATTCAAGCGGACATTTGGATCTGGTGATGGGGTACACTGCAGTGAGGAAGCTCCCTTCGATCTTAATTGAGCACCCTCAAAAGTACACGTACTTCCGGGCGTGTGTCACACGTCACACTTTTGTTTTTAACATCGGCTTACTTCGACGTGCGTTTGATAAAGTATGTGTGAACACGACGCAGCGGGAGTCCGGCGTCATCATTCCGTACAATACAAGGACGCTCAGTGCAGGTATGCCGGCAGCCAATATGAATAGTTGTCCACTGATGTTAATACATACTTTGTGGTTGGCTCATAGTAAATACAGCAATTCCCACGGAATACAGTCGCATCTGCTTGCTTACAGGACGTTCCACCACCTTTGTGAGTATTATAGTTTCAACAAACAGTGCTCTTTGTGAACGTCAGGATTAGGTGCGCCTAATATAGCGCCACTACGGTAGTGCATTACAGGACACTTTCATACCTAATGGAATATACATTTTACTTAATTCGAGTCCAAGTTACGCGCTAGCGCTTTGTAACAGCACTACGCTTTCTTCGCTGCATTCGCGGGCCACCGTTCGTCACGACAGCAATCGTACGGTGATCGATAGCTGCAAAAGAGTGAAATCCCCTCAATAAAGACTATTCTGCTTCATAATAGCATTGCTTCATATTGCTCCGTACTCAAGGAATTACATATTCTAATAAAGCTGTTTGTAAAAAATATGGGCGCTAGCATCGAATAATAGTTAAAATAACACACACATTGTGCACATTGGGGAGTATGGCGTGAGGTGGGAGCTGACGTCAGACGTTTTGTCAAGGTTGCGCGCTTCTGATAGCGGCACGTGATGCGCCGCACCCAGGACGCGCTCGGCTGGCAGCACGTCAGCTTGTAAGCCAGCGGAGGCGTGGCGGTGCGCGCTGCCCGCATTAGCCGGGCGGTGCCCATCGCTGCGCTGATGCGACGGCCTGTCCGGGTCGGGCGCCTGATGCGCAGCACGCAGGATCTGTTCGGGAATCCTGCGTAAGCCATGGCTCTGGTACCATGGCCACATGCGTCATGCGGCGGGGCGGCGCTCTGTGCGGGCTTTGAGATTAATGCCCGCGCGGCGAATAACTACGCCGCGGAGGCCGTGGGTCCGGCAATATTCTATGTCGTGAGAGCTAGGAAAATGTGATCCGGTGTTCGGCGTTAGGGGGCTCGGCCGGCGCTTCTGCGTAAAGATGTCGCTACATTGCCATGGCTCAGATGCGGCAAGCGTCCTATTACGTCGGTCCTGGGCGGCCAGCGTGGAGCGCGGAGGCCGGTGCCGGACACCTGATTTTGAGTGAATGCAGAGATGCCACCCTCTCAATGCGGATAAATCAGGTTTTGAGACCAGGCGAAGTCTATCTCATCGGCTGGCCTACCCGTTGACTTAAATTGACTTCTTTATGACTAATATGCTATATAATATGTTATATGTTATATTATATATGTGTTATATAATACGTTATAATTATGACTAATATGAGCCAATTGACTTAAAAAAGTAACATTCCTGTCTGGATGTGAGTGTAAAAATTTGGTTTGTAAGGAGGTAAAGGACGAAAATGTAAACTTTGAAAACTGTTGCAAATCACCACATATTTCCGCTGTTATGTGTAATGTATGCGATGGCATACTGAATCGCCTGTGCACCAAGGATGCTCTGTCCCTACCACAAATTCCAAACATTGTGTCATCATAAGGTCGTTTCAAAAGCCTTGTAGAAGTTAACAGGAACGGAACGGAGAAACGGTCTTCTGAATGAACGAGCTCTGGATCGAGGCCATCGTTCAATTGGTCCTCCTTGACCTGGTCGGTCGGCAGACGGTCGATGGGTCGGCCGCCGCCGCCGCCGCTTGAGCTCCGGCTCGGCCTTGGTTTGCCCTGTTTTGCCTGCTCACCAGACGCATCGTCTCGGAGTTGATTTTTTATTTGACGTCCCCGTACCATGGCTTTCACCGCACCTCGGGCGGCTGTCGCGTCGCCACCCCTGTGGCCGCCTTCCGGTCACGCTCCGGCCGCCCCTAGAGTCCCCGCCCCAACTCCATCTCATATGACGTCCCGCCGCGCAATGCAGGCAAGGAGTTCGTCGAGGCGAACCGGTACGAGTCGTTCGCGCCGGTGCGCGAGTGCTCCTGCCGCTCTCGCTGGTACGTGGACGGCAGCACGTACTTCCGCGACGTGGCCGACACGCTGGAGGCGGCTCGTGAGGAGATCTTTATCACCGACTGGTGGCTCAGCCCGGAGATCTTCCTCAAGCGGCCGGCGCTCGACTCCGAGTACTGGCGGCTCGACCAGGTCCTGCTCAGGAAGGCGGTACGTGCCCATGGCTGGGGTCGGCCTATCGCACCGCCCGAGGCGTGGTGGGCCAGGGAGCTCCTGAAGCCGGCACGTGGTGGGAGAGGGCCTTGCTGGGGAGGGCTCCGTGTGGCATTAGTAGTGTCAGTACTCGTGGCCGAAGTCACCCAGTAAGTGAAGCGTCGGTAAGCCCAGATGATCGGCAGCATTTCTGCTGTTGACTTCACGGGGTCCTCTTGCACCTGGTCCACATGCTCGCAGTCGTATTCTAACGGATATGTTGTGTAAGGCTGGCACAGCGTTGCTGTCCGCGACGTCCCACGTAATCTTTATCAACCATCTAGCATTGTCCTCGTCTTGCAGAAACAAGGCATTAAGGTATACGTGATGCTGTACAAAGAGGTGGAGATGGCGCTGGGCATCAACAGCTTCTACAGCAAGCAGAAGCTGATGCAGCACGACAACATCAAGGTAGGCGTCAGGTGTGCTGCAGGTCAGCTCGTCAGCACTGTCCTGTCTCCTGGTGCGCGCGCGGGGGGAGGAGGGGCAGCCGGCCGCACCGCGCTCTGCCTGCCGCCCTGTACACGTAACGGGCCGTGGCTGCACATCCGAGATCGGGAACCAATCCGGCTGGCTGAGCCGGCCAGTAACGTCACACATGTGTTTGTGTGTTCCTTTGGTTTTATGTTGTTTCAAGAAGTGAAAAAACGGTATGATAACATAGATATACTTCTTGCGTTTGTGGGGGAATGTGCATATGCAGTGCATTTGTATGATGCACGTTGTAAATATACACAGATATGGCATAATATACTTACATGAAAGGATTCATGACTGATGCTTAGTCATTCACGCATTAATGCCCAAATGAAGAGGATTAATGTTAAAGTCATAAGACCCATATCGGGGCGCCTCTCAAAAGAAGGAAGACAGAAAGCAGCCGCCTCACGTGCCATTTCAACAACTAGCCTCCGCCCCAGCGCCAGCCGTCGCCGTCGCCGTCGCCTCCCGTCGCAGTTGTAGCGTTTTAATGATATGGTTCTGGAAACACGCCGCAAGCACCCGACCGTCCTGGCTGCTGACGTTTATTCCGTACATTAGTGCATGTATGGTGTCGGTGTTCGGAATTAATCGAAACAGGGACCTAGTATCTGTGTGAAATGCTGGAAGAGATTGCGTCTGCGGCGTCGAAATAGTGGGCAAAAGAGGATGGAAAGAAAATTGTTTCGGAGCTGTTGCCGCAGACACGAGGAACTGGAAACTTTTGAATCGGAAAGACAAATGCGTGGACAGGGAAGCCCCGGTCCTTATTTGGGTTTGGTAGATGCTTCCGAATGTTGACCCGTATGAGAAGTATGGAGGTGTGTCCGTGCCGATCAGATCTGTTGCAAGTTCTTTGATTTCTTGCGTGATGTCTGTGCGCGGAGTTTTTCAGATATTTGGTCCATATGTTTGTGGCGTGTAGTGTGATTGATCATTGGAAAGATGTTCTGTTCTCAGGTAGCATTAGGGTTCTTGAATTTCTGAGTGTCCTACCAGTGTTAATGATGCGTGTATGTGGGGGGGGGGGGGGAGTATCTGTCTAATATAGTGGGGTTATTAATGTTTGGTGTTCATCAGCATGTGCAAACATGACAGCTGGTGTACCCTTCGTTAAGTACAGCTTGTGCCACCTTCGTAAGTGTGTCCCGTCCCAAGTCTTGTCTTAGTTTATCGGCGATGTCCTGTCTGAGGTTCCTGTGACGCGTCTCGCCGCTCGGCCTGTTTTTTCAGTCGTTCGTCCTGTGACGTTATGTCACAAAAGTCCAAATTTGGCCTTACGTAAGTTTTGTGTATGTTACTGAGTTTGCTGCGATACGTGCACTTAGCTACGGTGTGAAGTGGTTTTAGGGCTATGCTTGTCCTTATGCTGGCGATGTTGGCAAGTTTTGTTTGCCGCCAGGTGATGCGTCACCCGGATCACGCCAGCTCGGCCGTGCTGTTCTGGGCCCACCACGAGAAGCTGGTGGTGGTGGACCAGAACTATGCCTTCGTGGGCGGCATCGACCTTTGCTACGGCCGCTGGGACGACTTCTTCCATCGGTGAGCGGCGATGGAGCGGCGGCCGGCACCGCTGGGGCTGGCTGCACTGATGCCTGGTGTCCGGGTGTCCTGGGCGGCGGCAGGGGCCGCTGGAACCGGCGCACTGACGCCTGGTGTCCGGGTGTCCCGGGCGACGGCGGGGGCCGCTGGAACCGGCGCACTGGCGCCTGGTGTCTGGGTGTCCCGGGCGACGGCGGGGGCCGCTGGAACCGGCGCACTGACGCCTGGTGTCCGGGTGTCCCGGGCGACGGCGGGGGCCGCTGGAACCGGCGCACTGACGCCTGGTGTCCGGGTGTCCTGGGCGGCGGCAGGGGCCGCTGGAACCGGCGCACTGACGCCTGGTGTCCGGGTGTCCCGGGCGACGGCGGGGGCCGCTGGAACCGGCGCACTGGCACCTGGTGTCTGGGTGTCCCCTGGCGGCGGCCGGCGCACAGACAGCGTGAGCGTAACAGGCCCGGTTCTGTCAGGGTCACGTCGACACATTGGCTGCTCTATAGCTTCGGCATTAGACAGAAGAAGTTCCTTTAGAACTGGAGAAGAACAAAGAGCCTTGACTTATTTTTTCTGTTTTGTTGTGTTTTGCTCAAGCATACTGTTTCTATATTTACTCAAAATAGTTTGTTTTTACAGCCTGCGTTTTATCTCAATAGATAAACTCACAAACTTAGCATCTTACCGCGCATTAACGATATTATAGTTTCTTCCATGTGCTCGAAATCTCTTTTTGGTTGGGGTGCTTGTAGGTCTGTTGGTGGCACCATGACAAATTCGTGATTTAGACGGGAATTGAGCGACCAATTGTTCCTTTTTTACTTTCGAATGCCATGATTGCAGCAGAGTAGCGTGTTAATGTTTGTCGTGTCCTATCGTGGCATTAGACTCGCATCTTCTGAGAGCCCCGATGCCGCTGGTATCACGCCCCGCCCCCTGTGTCCACCGGCAGGCTGACCGACCTGGGCAGCGTGGCGGACCTGGAGCGGGCCGGCCACTTCCAGGCGCCGGTCACCTCCAGCACGCCGGCCGGCTCTCAGCTGCCACACACGCTGCTGGCGCTGGCGCAGGGCACCAACATGGTCACAATCGGCACTGTCACCAACGCCGAGCAGGTGGGCCGCCGCCGCCGTCCGTGCTTGGAGTGGGGGCGGGGCTGGGAGCCGTGCTGTGCGGTCTGGGCCCGGGCGCCGCCGCTGAGAACCGCCGTCCGTGGCGTCTCCTGGGCAGACGGGGGCCGGGTCTGGCAGTTTTGGCCGGCCCGGCCCGGAGCCAGTCAGGGGCGGCCTGCGCGCTGGGAGGGGGGGGGGGGAGACCGTGCCTTGTACGCCACCAACGAGATCAGCGACGTTTCCATTGTAAAAACGGGAGGGGGGGGGGGGGGCAGCGAACGGTGCCTTGTACACCACCCCCGGGATTAGTGGTGTTTCCCATGTCAAAACGGGGGGGGGGGGGGGGAAGGAGAACGGTGCCCTGTACACCACCACCGAGATCAGTGGCGTTTGCCATGTCAAAGCGTGTGACGGTAATGTGACACGCTGTGAAGACACTAAGACGCGTAATGGTGGCCTGACTGACTGTCACACGTTGCTGTAGACCGAGTGAAATCAGGATAGCATGCACGAAGATAGATGCGAAGAAAGATAAAGATAACAAAGGGCTGTGCAGACTCCTCGGATATCCATCGCATTCGTTTTCCTGAGCGTGTTATGATGGGTCATGCCGATGTGCGCGCTGTACTGGAGCTGATGCGAGCTGGTGACTGATAGTGCCGCTCCCCTCTTTCCAGGCCAAAGAGCTCCCTGTGGAGATGCAACCGCAGTAAGTATGTTTTGTTACGTTTCCCTCCTCCCCCCCCCCCCCTGTCTTTCTCCTTTTTCTACATTCCACCTCATCTCCCGATTGAGGCGCTCTATAATCAGACATCTTCCACATCATACATACATGCCCCCTCCCAATTTTCAGCAATATGTTCCCTTCCCTTGTTCCCTCGATCGTCGGGGCTAAGCTGACTGGCTCATGTCGTGCCCCTTTGATGCTGACATGTTCCACGGCTCCCTGTCCCCTCCCATTCCCGTCGACGGCACTGCCAGCACCCTTGGAGCGTATGACCTCCGTAAAGGGTGATGTGTTCGGGTTTGCTATATTTTGGTGAGCATGACTTCAGTCATAGATGTGTTTCTAGACGTGCCATGTGATGCGTCCATTTGTCCTCTCATCCTGTACTGGAAGCCGTCCTACTGATCCAAGGTGGTGCCTGTCTCGAGCAGTCTGTCATGTTACCCTCAATCTTACCGTTGAAGTACGGCGAGGCTATGCTGAAAGGACGTCCCAAATTTTGCATTTCATTTGATTTTGCAGAAATTTGCTGCATTTCCCCGGTACATTTTTATCACCCATTTCTAGTTTATCTCGAACTTCAAGTTCCGTATATTCACTTTCCTGATTATTCCCTTTGGCCTGGAGCGATTTAATCAAACACTTCTGTCAGGACAGCTCGGTGTGGGGATCCGCATAATAGCCGTCCAATTCACATAACCTATCCCGCGAAGTAAGCCCGGTTAACGGTCCGTGGCTACCGCCCCGCTCCGCCAGCTGTCCCGTCCGCCCGTGTCCGCCCGGTGTTGGTGGCCTATGCACGCGTCCCGGGCCGTGACCGGCCTCGACCTGGCCGGCCCCGGCGGCGTGCCGCGCCTGACGCGCGCCCCGCCGGCGACGATTGCAGCGTCATGTCCGGAGATGTGGTGGACGCAGCGCTGGCCCAGGACGGCGACGGCTCCGAGCACGGAGAGCCGGACGAAGAGCTGCCGATGAAAGGCGAGACGCCGCCGACGCACCGGCGGCGTATCATGCGCAACATGGTGCGCATGCGCGAGGTGGCCAGCGTGTGGTCGCACGGGATCGCCGACCGCAGCCGCCGCCATCTGCACAGGTAAGGCTGGGCGGGCGGGGTGGGCCGCTGCAGGATGGCAGACAGGCGGCGTCGCAGCACTAACACGAGCTGCTCGAAGACGGTGTCAGCGGCAGCGGCATGTCTAGCAGCGGCTGGTCAGCCGGTGTGGTGCGGACACGCACGTGCGACTAACTCCGCGGGGGGTGCAAGGGACGCGGATGCGTGTCGTTCGTGCCCCGAGCTGTCGAGCGTGCGACGGAGTGGGTGGAGCCGCGTCCACCCCGGATGCCGACGGCGACTGTCGACCCGTGGTGCCTCCGGCCGACCCTCGGCGGCCGCAGCCGCTGCCGGCGGCGCGGCGTGCGGCCGTGACGGGCGCGTGGCGCCGGCGGCCAGCCGCCTGTCTGACGGCGCCGTGTGCCGCCAGGCTGCGGCGGCAGCGGCGGCGGCTCTCTCGGCAGCCTTCCGTGTGAGTGTCCGGTGCGGCTGCCGCCGCCAGGGCGGGAGCACGAGCGTTGGCCGCCTCACGCGGCCCTGACACGGCCAGTGCATGGCGCGGGCGCGGGCACGCCGCGCACCGCCGTCGACCGCTAGCGGCATGCCAAAGGTTGCGTGACCCGAGCGGGCCGCGGCGTCGCTGACGTCACTGGACGCACCGGCCGCGCCGCCATGCATCGGAAGCACGTGACATTATGTGGCGTCGTGTACTCCAAGCACGCTTAGAAGTGGTGTTAAACGCACAGCACATAGTTGCAAAGCAGTAGTCCCGTGAAGATGTGTATGTATATGGCAGAGGAACTGGGGCACCTACTTTCAGCAGTGTGTGAAAAGCAGGACCAAAATGCAACCTGTTCACTGTGGAAAAGTGTCTCACTCCACGCATACTGCTGCTTATATTCAGGCACTCCTGCAATGCACCTGCCTGGCATTCGTGACGCGGCGGTATCCTGCCATGTACAGGCCGTTCCATTGGGACAATCTTAACTGGGACCACAGCGGGCGCCGAGCGCGGTGTGTCGGCCACTGCGGCCGGATGTCGCCGCTGTCACAGGCACGGGCCGAGTCCACGTGAGCGGTGGACGACCCCGGGAGGCGACACCCGGAGGCGATTTCGGACACGCTGCTGTTACGCGCGGGTGATCGATCGTGGTGGGCCGCATCCGAGCGCCGACGTCACGTGCTGCGCAGTTACAGGCGGCGGCGTAGCCTGTCAGGCAGACGGGTTTTGAGATGTGGTTACCGGTCGAACGCCGTCGCAGCTAAACGTCAAGTTTGGGTTATGCTGTGTTTGTGCCGGAACCAAAGCTGCAGCGCTGCTTTTTTGAGATACCAGCATTTGAAAATGCGAACAACTAACAGTTAGTTTCTTCAGTAATGGACTGATTAATGTCACTGTCGTGGTTCAAAGACATGGAAGCGATCCTGACGCAAATCCCACGTGGTTTATAGATCCGGTTGCGCCATTAGCATTAGCTGCCGGACCCCGATCTATCATCGCGCATCTCAGGTAGATTCAGTCAAGCCCCACATTACTGCATTCTGGGTAGCAGTGCTGTGACGTCAGTATGGAACTAAGTCATATGGCATCAGCGCTATGGTGACGTAAAAACGCTGTTCTTTGTGAGTTGGTTTAAACACATATATTTCCATAAGCTGAATTTGTTTCGACCTAGCACACTCAATGAAAAATTGTCGGCTGGGAAATTATCTTGGTTTGCACCAGAGCCTAGCAATTATTGCTGAAATGCGCTTCTAGCCTGCCCCTGGCAGACAGCTGGGGTTACCCATTCACCAGTGGTTTATCCCGAGGAACTCTAGCCGGAAGTGCTTAGAAACAGTCCGTGTAAAACAGAACATCATACAGAAGCAACAACATAGGATGGAAATGAGATACGGCGGGCCAGACGGGCTCGCAGTACCCTGGGACGCGCATTGGAACGCACACCCTGTAGCCCTAAGGGGAGTGTTGTCGGGGTGGATGCAGGGTTGGCCTACCCTTATTGGGGGGGGGGGGGTAATGAGCGGTGAACCTCGGGGGGGAGGGAAGGGGGTGCTTAAATACAGCGCGCCATTTCAGTTCAGGATAGCAAAATTTTCCTGTTAAATGGACCGACTTCTGGCAAGTTTTGCAAGTTCTGCCAGTCAAAAAGTCGAGGCCCGTATTATCTCTGAAGTAGTTTAATCGGGATATTTTAGTGCAGTGGGGTATTGTTGTTTGCGCACGATTTGCATGTAACTCATCCAACAGTATACATCAGCAAGTCAACACCTAGGAGGATCACAGCACAGCAACAGCGAAATTATTGGCGCCCACCCTCCTCCCATTACCTTATTTTCACATTTCACTCCCTTTAGTTACCGCAACACGAAGGCATATGCACAATCATTGTTCATTAATTAATTTAGTGTGAGTTTTACGTATGCTATGTATTTATTTACGTATGAATGTTGCTTTTTACAAAAACGCTTTACGCATTAAAACGCATTCATGCGCGTTGGCCTCGACGAATAGGGCGCGGGTGCGGGAAGTAGAAAATGTAGTTTAGTAGGATTTATTGTTGGAATCAGATCCTAGGATTAATTTGTCTTCAGAAAGGTTGAAATACAAAATGACATCTTTTCTTGTGACATTACAATAAAGATGTGAAACAAGGTCGCTATCAAGTTCAATGGCAAGGTCTCCGTTTTAATAATCTGGCGGGTATCGACCAACCTTTTCGTAGCATTAACAAGAAACGATATTGCGGGCTACCAAATTTTAGTCCCATGGTGACGTCACGTCTGCGTAGCTTTCTTTAGTAGCCTTGGATCCAGTAACCGTGATCTCAGGCAAGATAATGAGCGAAATCTGTGCTAAGTCTCATGCGTTTGCAGTGCCATGGCTTGCTCTACGTGTCGAATATGGCTAAAGAACTATCGGAAATGAATGAATCGATCAAGTGGACCGTCAAGAAACAAGATGCATATTCGTGCTCTGTCTAAGGCAAATGTGGGCTGAAATAATCAGCGGTTTTAAGCGTGTTCTATGTCACAGAGTTATGGGCGCCGTCGAGCAAGCTCGATCGCGTTTTCGTGCTCTGCGGCTCCCGCCATTAGTATGGGGTTAGAATCGTCGGGAACGCTAGGGTCTTCAAGTCCTTCGGCTGCCACGGAGGGGGCATTCGCGCTGATGGATCCTGCGTCGCACTCGGACGGACTGGTCCTCTTCCAGTCCGATGAAGTTGGCTGGAAGGAAGGCATCTTTATTCGTTTAAAAAGCTACGCTGAAGAACCTCAAGGGTGCTACACTGCTCATCTGGGCATGGGTTTTGTGTGGCACCGTTGGACTCGCTCCATCATCAGTAGTCGCAGCTCTACAGGAGACGTTTTTGGTATTAACTTCAATTAGCCATGCTTCATTTGTGTTCTGGGAACCAATAAATGTTGTCCAATAATATATATATATATATATATATATATATATATATATATATATATATATATATATATATGTGGGGATATTATGGCGACAAAATTGTTGACACATGTTTTCTGATAGTCCAATGACCCAATACCTTTTTTTATAGTAAGGGGATTGTCACCCCATCCTGCCTACACACGTACCTGCATGTAACGGCCAATATCATCGCCTGCTGTCTGAAACCACACGTGACCGCGAAGCGATTCACAGCATTTTAAAATCGTCGGCCGGTTGTTAAATGAAGCTCAAAACCAATGCAATATGTATAGCTCAAAGCGACGGATGAGACTGATTTGGGGTGGACGTGAAGAACATGGGGTGGACATGGAGTGGACATGGGGCCGTGGAGAACTGGTCATGCCACTGTTTCGAATCTATGGCTATTCTCAGCATGCGTAACATGGTTGGTTACTGTGCGCACGATACATCATATCCAGAAAATTGGACACTGTAATGAAACACACCTGTTTGACATCGGATTCGCCGCACAAGTGCAAGCATGAACAGGTGAAACATGACAAGATAACGTCACGATGTAGTTTGCATTGCGATTAATTCATTTGCTTATTTCGGGAGGTTTCTACCTACCGTCATTAGACCCGTATTGAGTAAGACACGGCATTAGAAGTGTACGATACATGGCGGAAAATTAACCATTTTCCCCTATCGGAGCTGTGGGAAAATTGATTGGGATCCGGCGGATAAGGCTAAAGCGAGGCCACGCAAATCCGTGAGATTGTTCCACCACTTTTTGTTCGGAGTCACAGGAGCGTGCCGTTGTTTCTCGAGAGCTTATTTTGCTCTCCTGCACTAAAAATGGAATGCGGAATGGTGTTACGTATGGAAAGACATATAAACATAGGCATAGACACATCGTCTGACTGAAAGGGGTGGCGGCCTACCTAAAATGTTTGTGAGTTGTATATGTGAAACTTAGGGCATGCTCTTCCAAATCGCATTACACCTGTCTTGCCTTGAGTTGTATTCGTACGCTGTAAAAGTCATGTTAAGTGTTGGTTCTAGCACGGTGGAATGAGCGCTGAATGCTCCCGGCTAGCACTCTAGCTTCCAGGATGGTAACCAATAGCGTTACGGCTGAAGACAAAGCGTAAAAGCGAAAATATGTCCACTAGGAAGCTTTGTTTGAACGGTCTGTCGCATCACAGCACACGCTGTGTTTAACAGCGAATCCCACATCACCAGAGATGCCACGTGGGGCTTTCGTCTGATTGACGGTAATGACGACCGGTCTCCACAAAATATCACGTTTCTCAGGTCTTGTTAGCGGCCGCTGAGTAACCGGCTGCCTTCCGGCTGGTCTTGGGATGGCGGGAGGGGCGGGGATGGGGCTGGCCGCATCGACACCGTAATGTGACCCGTCCGTATGTGCGCGTGCCCCCTGCGCTAGGTCGACACGCGTCGACTACGGATCGCTCCGGGCCTGCAGTCAGGACGCCATCGTCCCGCCCGACTGGACCAGGTGCTGCCATCTATCGACACCAGCAGGAAGCACGAGTTCGTCGGCTCAGTTTTGGGGTCGCATGCTTGTTGTGCGGTCTGGTGGCCTGCGTTTGGTAGCGTAGTAGCTGGCACGGATTTGGCCATGGATGAGCTTGGGTTGCGTGACTTATGCTGCGTTCTTTCCGTTTCAGGTTAAGATTTCGTCGGCGGGCCGGGGCGTTGCGTTCAGCTCTTTACCTATCATGGGATCTTACATATCCTCATTCGAAAGCCTGGCACGGCTATCCGCTTGGGCTTTGCTTTCTCTCGTAAATAAATGCTGCTCTGTTAATCTCGTTCACTCCAATGTCACCAATGTTGCGCTCGTGTAATAAACTCCGCCCACTTGATGCCTATCGTGTGTTGAAGCTCACGTGAACCACCCATGGCAAACATGTCCTCCTTCCACACGACTGACTCCGGGTGCTCGCCTCGCCCGTCGCCGAGACCAGGCCGCCGTGGCCCGGCGTGGGTCATTGCGCGCCGCCGCTCGTGTCGTGCGGCCGTCGGCGCTGCGGTGACGCTCGTGCCGCGTGCGCAGGGGCAGCAGCGATGCGGAGGGTGAGGACGGCCCGGCCGCCGCCGCCGAGGAGGCCGTGGTGGCCGAGAAGGCGCCGCAGGCACAGGCGGCTCCAGTCACCGCAGCCGTGGTCGCCGCCGAGGCCGGCATGCTCGACGAGTGAGTGAGGACGGCGGGCGATGGTAACGAGGGGGTGAGGACGAGAGGGGAGGGAGTGACCACGGCAGGGGAGGGTAACGAGGGAGTGAGGACGGCAAGGGATGGTAACGAGGGAGTGAGGACGGCAGGAGATGGAAACAAGGGAGTGAGGACGGTAGGGGATGGCGATGAGTGAGTGAGGACGGCAGGGGATAACGTTGAAAGGGTGAGACGGCAGGCGATGGCGATTAGTGAGTGAGGACGGCAGGGAATGACGGTGAGTGAGTGAGGACGGCAAAGAATGGCGATGAGTGAGTGAGGACAGAAGGGATAGCATTGAGTGAGGACGGTGGGCGATGGGGATTAGTGAGTGAAAACGACAGGGGGTGGCGATGAGTGAGTGAAACGGCGGGCAATGGTAATGAGTGAATTTGGACGACGAACGATGGTAATGAGCAAAAAGGGACGGCAGGGGATGCCAGTGAAGGAATAGTGAAGTTGGGGAGGGGACGAATAATGGGCCGGTAGCAAGTGCATGTGATAGCTTGTGTGCGCTCGCTAGTAAACTGAAAGAGATGTCGATGTAGGGCAGCAGATAAGTAAGTAGAGTGCACGTTGCATTGTCGCAGCGCTGGTGAAAACCTTACGCGTTTAAATTGTCAGCAGTCGAAGGAATGGTGGTAGAGAATTGGTGGCAGAAATAGTTCGCACATGCGTTATACTTTAAGTCTGCTACGGTGCCAAAGAAGGAAAAGCTGTAATTGAAGAAAGCCGAATATGTTGTAGCATCTCCCCTTCCTAGTCGCCGCGAGAAATGAATGTTAAACATTTGGTTAGCTGGCCCTGCAGTGAGACCTTACACGGAGTAGATCGATTTTTCGATACGGGTAAACCACGTCCGCAAACGGCGCAATGCTGTCGCTATTAGCATGAAAGGCTGCCAAGCAATCCGCGTGGCATCTGGGTGACTCGTTATTTGTGACAGCATGGCTGTCGCGACCACAATACTGCTTAAAAGCGGTTCCTTTTGCAATGCCTGGAAGTTCATCCGTCATGGTCCGGACGACGTGAACGTTACCCGCACTTGAAGGCAATGTGCTCAAATACATTTTGTTCGTATTTTGCGACAGCCGACGGAACGACGAATCAAGAGCTCAGAACACGTATTACTATCCATTACCGAGCGTTGAGCCGTATCGTGACAGTGCGAGTCAGAGTCGCAGGAGTCAAGCTAACAGCTGCCGGCTAACCAGACTCTCGGTAGATGCGGACACCGTAGCCGGCGCTGTGGTGCTGGCTGGCGTGAGTCCAGCCACCGAACATAGCTGTCCTGAGGTGGCGGTGTTGCTGAGGTAAACAATGGCGCGGGGCGGGATGCTGCCGGAGGCTCGGCTGACGCTTCCCGGGCGCCTCGGGGCTCGTGCTGTCCGCCTGGGCTCTCCGATCGTTCTGCTATAGCGACGGAACATGTGACGTACGCGGTGCGTGTCGTTCCCCGTCACTGTGGCGTTGTGGGGCCGCTCTGGGCGTTCGTTGAAGTTGGGCGGCACGAAGGTACCCTCCGCGGGCATTTATTGAGGCGGAATCGTCCGCTGTGTTGGCAAGTACGAAAACACTGACCAGGTTCGCGTCTTGCGGACTGGCTTCAGAATCCGCTGCGAATTCTGACGGTCCACTGTTGCGGCTTAGGGTTCCACGTTGAAGCCCGGGGTCTCGCGAAGCGCAGACAAAAAGAGCTCAAAAGTGGCTCATCTCATCCGCAGCAGCTGAAGTCTGCGTAATGCGCAGCACATCCTACAGTCGTGAGCTGTTGTGGAGTAGAGAGGTGATACTTTTGGCGCTTCTTCATCGCGGTTTGCCTGCCTGCGAGGTTAACGATGTGGCACCTGTGGCCAAAAACAGCTGACAGCCGCATAATCTGCACCGGATTCTGCAGTCACTTGACTAGATATGAACGAGGTCCTGCTGCGTTTGGGCCTCCATCGTCGATACTGCAGACCAGGCAGGTACAGGTCCTCCGCGGAACTATGGGCCTGAAGATGTGTAGTCGCTTCCGTAGTAGAAACGAGACTTAAATGTTCTCCGCGCCGTATCAATGATCGAATATCGTGCGTGGCGTTAGCCGCATGCGTGTAGTGGTCCTTACTGCACGTAGTTGGTCGCAGGATGGTGTTTACCTGCACGTTCACCCTTGTGCGGACGGCCAGGACTGGCACTGGTCGGCCGGGGTTTGCAGTGCGGGCTGTTCTTGACAGGCGTGCAGTGGGAGCTGTGCACCCACACCGCCCCCGCGCTTCCTGTCGTGCCCGCGGGGCGCCGGCGCCGACAGTCGGCCTCTCGCCGAGCAGCAGCGTGTGGTCGGTGACGTGGCCGCCCGACACCGGTCAGCGGCGGCAGACACAGACAGTAGCGCCGCGCTCGTCTCCGTCTATATGTCTGACGAGTTACGTCAGCCCCAGTTCTGCGAACAAAGGCGAAATTGTAACTCGTTCGGTCCATTTTCGTCTATCCGCTAAGCCAGACCCAATTCAGCCTGGCTGGGCTTTTAGTTTTGTCTGGGCACGGGCCGGGTTTCCAGCTCCGGTTTTGCAGACATGTGGTTTGATGCTTTGTTGCCCACTTCTTATCACCGGGAGTCGAGCGCACATACACATACAACCCACGCACACACACGCATGCACACGCACACGTACGCGCACGCATACGCATACACACGTGCACGTAAGCGCGCGCACGTACACACGCACGTATGCACGCACGCATGTATGCATGCATGCATGCACGCACGCATGCACGCACGCACGCACGCACACACCCACACATTCGAGCGGACAAAAAGCTGCTGTTTTAGACGCCTGCTTCTAACGAATGGTAACAGTCAATGGTTTATGTAATGGTGGATCGTGTTGTCTGGGTACTGGGCGATTTCCGTTGTGGGGTGGCGTGTTGTGAAGCTTGCTCTGTGTCATCCTAGTGTCAAGCAATGTCAGATTCGATTAACTCCTCAATTGTTTGGTGGAAATAATGTGATTAAATGGGATTTTGCAGTTGCAATACTTTTCTCGGGGTTATGGCTGACTGCCCGTCGTGGCTTTTTTGCACATTTCTCCTCAGTGTAATCTCCGTCTTTATTCTCGAAAATATTACCTTTTCACGACATTATTGCCGCAGGGTGGACGCCAACCGTGTCAAGAAGCTCACCGCTAAGCTGTGGTTCGGCAAGGACTACACCAACTTCATCGTCAAGGACTTCAGCGCGCTGGACGCCCCGTTCATGGGTATGCTCCGGGACTTGGTCCAGAAGCCCTGTGTGACCTGATGACCTCTGTGTGTTGTTGGCAAGCCCACGTTCTACTTTTGATGTCATGGGACAATAGGCGACCATTTCTCCTTTAGGTAATCAGTAGCGTCTGGCGGAAGGCGTTTTTCAGTGCGTGACGAGAAAATGAACACTTGATGTGATTGATGAAATCAAGCATCGTCCGTCCGGTGGCCCCGCTGGTTATGGCACCTGTTTGTGGGTTAACCCTCATCTGGTGTGATTGCCTCCAGTCGCTACAAGCGCTCGCTATTTGCCCTTGACTCTGCTCGAATGATTTTTTTTTTAACAACCAACTGGGATGGCCTGCGGCTGGTGGCGGCGGCCGGCGGCCGCCGCGGTCGAGTACGGCAGAGGGTAGGACGGGCCATTCCAAGCATTTTGACATGTGAAACTTGCGCCGCAGGTGCCGTCGTTAATCCGGATTTTACGATCGGATGGTGGAGATAGGGCTCATAATAAGGACGGGTTAGGTGGGCCCCGACATCAGAAATCCATTCACTCAAAGGATACCTCCGGTGCCAGCGGTGCCGGTCTGGCCATGTGGCGGGCGTCGCTCCGGTGCCAGCAGTGCCGGCTCCGGCCGTGTGGCGGGCGTTGCTCCAGTGCCGGCGGTGCCGGGTCCGGCCGTGTGGCGGGCGTCGCTCCGATGCCGGCGGTGCCGGCCTGGCCGTGTGGCGCCCTCTGACGAGCGCTGCGTCGCTGTCGGCAGACCAGATCGACCGCCGCTCAGTGCCCAGGATGCCCTGGCACGACATCTCCACGGGCGTGGTGGGCTCGGCTGCGCGCGACGTGGCGCGCCACTTCATCCAGCGCTGGAACGCTGTCAAGGTCAGGCGCGCCGTGTGCGTGCACTGGGCGAAGGTCGAGTGACACGTGCGCTTGTGTGAGGTGGGCTGGGCGTGCTTCCTGTTCTTGTTCCCTATGATGATGCGATGTGACAATGATGGCGATGGTTTGGGTGTTGGAGCGTCGTGACTAATCCGGCATGCCGCTAAGCTGCGGCGCGTCATGCATCTTGCATCATCACCCATACATCTTTCTGTTGGACGCCTGCTGCCGGAGCGTGGAACCACGAGTTCCGTTTGAGAGCGTGGACCGTTTGTCGGTCAGCCAGTCATCGGCTGGCGGCGGCGCGGCGTCCCCTCCGATGTGCCGGCGCGTCTGAGTCCGGCCGGCGGGGTGACTGACCCCGCCCCCCCCCCCCCCCCCGGATAGGTGGAGAAGCTGCGCTTCAACATGGACTACGAGTTCCTGCTGCCCAAGGGCTACCAGACGTGCGACTCCATACCGGAGGTGCTCTCGACGCCCAGCTACAAGACCAAGTGTCAGGTGAGGAGGCGGGCGCTGAGCTGGGCGGTGTGGCACCCGCCAGTTCTGCCGTCGCTGTTGTCCCGCGTGAGGAATTGCTGGTTAACCCAGCCCCCAAACCGATGGGGTCTCCTCACCGTGTGGTTTTCGGTGACGTTTCAGCATCACTGTCGTGTCGTGTGACGCCAGCTGTGGTGTGGCGTCCTGCTGGGGTCTCATGGACGCCTCCGACGCAGTCTCTCCGCTCGTTGCCAGATCGTGCGAAGCGCCTCACAGTGGTCGGCCGGCATCAAGGACACGGAGGACTCGATCCAGCAGGCGTACGTCGACCTGATCAGCCGCGCGCGACACTACATCTACATCGAGAACCAGTTCTTCATCTCGCTCTGCGGCATCAACGCCGACGTCAGCAACCGCGTGTGTGAGGCGCTCTTCCAGCGCATCCTGCGTGCGCACAAGTACGTGCCAGCCAGGGCTGTCGGCAGAGCCGCGTCCGCTCGCTGGGGGGGGGGGGGGGGAGGGGGGGGGGGAGGCGTTGGTGCTGGCGGCAGGCAAACAAGGGTGTGCTGCGTAGGTGTTGTGAGGCAAATGTGTGTGGAGCGAACGCCAAATTATATGTTGAGCATGGAGGCGCATGATCGGTGCCTTGTGTCACGCGGCTCTTGCAGGTTCACATATCAGTCGGCCCACGTAATTCAATCAGACGGATTTGTCTCGGGGCGTAGATGCTGCGGAGTATATGATCAGCGACTAGAAGGCCATTGGCGATGGCGCTATTATTTTGACGGTGAGAGTTGCGCGCATAATCATCTGCTGGGATGATCACGCCTCTCTGGCAACACTGAGCGCTGCCGTAGCGGCTGCAGTAGACGAACGAGCGGTGTGGATCGACCGAATTGGTCAAATTTAAACAAATTGGCAAAACTGGTAAGACGAGGCCTGGTGTACCACACCAGTTAAAGGCTGCTCTGTCCTCTCTCAATGCGTCTGTTGGCTGGCACGGTGTCGCCGTCCGTCTGGCGGAGTCTCCGCGTTGCCACCGTGCCGTTGTGGCTATGTGCCGCGTGCGCTCACTGACCCGCGCCGGGCCCCCTGCCAGGGACGGTCGCGGGTAGGTGGCCGGCGCCCGGCGGGTACCGTGAGTCGGCCCGTCTGTGCCTCTACCTGTGTGCGTGTGCGTGTGCGTGTGCGCGTGCTCGCCGTGCTCCCAGCATCGGCGCCGTTCCTGCCCGTCGCCCCCTGCATTGAACGCAGTGGCGGCAATTTTCACGCACCTCTTTGTGCTGCCCAATTTTTGTGCGTGTCCTTAGCACTTTTCGTTGGATGAGCGCGTTTGCAATGTCACGCGACTGACCACCACATTTTTTCGGTTCGTCCGCCGTGTGTTAGCCTGTAGCCGTGCGTGTGTGGCCTTGCACTGACCGTTGACTCGGTGCGGCGGTCCAGTCGTCAAGAGAAGTAAGTGGCCGACACCTCGTCTCGTCTCGCCTGGGAGACGGCCCGTCTCCGCACCGTGCCCAGCTGTCGCCGCTGCCGCACGCTCCGCTCCGTCTCTGTAGACCCTTTGGCCGCCGTCGCATTCCCGCACCGTGCACCCCCATCGCATCACCGTGCCGTGTCAGATCGTCACAGATCACTGATGCACCTCGCACCGGCTTGGCCCGTCGCGGCGTCGGCGCCCGCGGCGCTGGTCGCACTTCTCCGCGCCACCCGCCCTGCAAACGCTGTGCACACTCCGCATGCACTGTCGCCGATTGGTGACTGTTGTCTGAGCGTGAGAGCTCGCTCTGTTCGCGCTAATGTAGTGTGGATGCGGCCAGCTGACCTGTCCTGTAGCTTGTCTTGTTTGCCCGCTTTGGGATTTGGCCTGCCGGAATATGTTCGAAGTTATTTTCCTGGAATGGTCAGAAGATTCGGACTCCAACGTGCAGCTTTTCAACGAAACAACTTCTGAACACGCGATTTGGCACTTTCGGTTTTTGGCAGCGGTTGGTTCTACCTACAGTCATGCGCTTTAAACTGAGATGCTGTCAACTCTGAAATAGCTATGTGATCCTTAAACATCACAGATTCCACGTCATGGTCAAACTTCACGGTTTTTACAGCGACGAGTGAAAATTATGGCAAGAAGTTTCTATATAAATCAGGAGAGCGTGCCACATTTTTTGCACAGTTAGCTCGCCGGCGATTTTTCGGCAGACTCTCCTGGTTGCGAAATCCTTGATGTACATATGCTATGCATTGGTGTGAACTCCGCACGTGCTGTATGGCATACTTTGTGTAGGTAGGATACCAGTGCCTGCTATCTGGTGTGTGGATGTTGCCCTGGTTAGTAGGGCCAGTTTGCCAAGCCGTCGTTCTATCACCAGCAAGGATTGGCTTTAACATGAGGATAAGCTCTAGCCCGTGGTATCCCCTGCGCCAGGTAGATGGGATGATGGCCGCCTCGGCCGCCGTCAGAGGCGGCGTTTCACTAACCCTGAGCGGAGCCGCCAGCTGACTGTGGCGGATGCGGCCCCGGCCCAGCTCCGTGTGTCGCCGGCGCCGCGGTGACGCCGTGCTGGCCGGGTCAGCCGGGCCGGCCGGGCTGCAGCCACTGCGCCACCGTCAGCGGACGGGCCCGGCTCCGACACACCAGTCTGAGACGCTCTGGCCTCTGCCGCCTCTCGGTGTCGTGCAGCGCGGCTGGCTCGGCTCCAGATATCCCCAGGTTACAGACATCCCCGGCCACAGACATCTCCCCGGCCACACACACACCCCTGACCACAGAACCCCCCCCCCCTCCGGCCACAGACATCTCCCCGTCCCCAGATATCCCCCGGTTACAGACATCCCCGACCACAGACATCTCCCCGGCCATAGACACCCCCTGACCACAGAACCCCTCTCCCCCTCCGGCCACAGACATTCCTCCGACCGCAGATAACCCCCGGACCCAGACATCCCCCGCCCCAGACATCCCCGACCACAGACATCTCCCTGGCCATAGACACCCCCTGACCACAGAACCCCTCCCCCCACGGCCACAGACATTCCTCCGACCACAGATAACCCCCGGAGCCAGACATCCCCCCGCCCCAGACATCTCCCGACTCTGCAGCGGGGTGGTGACGGGCGCCGCCGCCGCCGGCAGGGACGGCTCCAAGTTCCGCGTGTTCGTCATCGTGCCGCTGCTGCCGGGCTTCGAGGGCCAGGTGGGCACGGCCGGCGGCACGGCCATCCAGGCCATCACCCACTGGAACTACTCGTCCATCTGTCGGTGAGTGACGCCGCCGAGGGCGCGCACCCGGAGACGGGTGACGGGCCGCCGGTTTTGTGGGAGGATGGACGTGAGTTTGTGGTTGCGCGTCACGCTCTTTGGGAATAGTGGAGGAGCTTTGGCTCTATTTATTTTGTATGATTGTCGTGCGTCAAGCCGTTAAGCCCTTGGCTATGAATATGACCGAAGATTTACGGGGTCTCAGGCGCAACCTGTATTCAGTACGCGCAGGTATGTGCGTTGTTCGTGTTCCCATGTGCATGCGTGTGCTCACTTCTGGCCCCCTTGTGGCAGCCGCTGACTGCCGCTTGTCGTCACTGATGATTCGTAACCGGTGACTGGTGACCTGTGACCAGTGACATGTGACCTGTATCTGGCGACCTGTGACTGGGGACTGGTGACCGGTGGTCGGTGACCGCAGGGGCCAGTTCAGCCTGCTGAAGCGGCTGCAGGACCGCGGCGTGAACGACCCGACCGAGTTCGTGAGTTTCCACGGCCTGCGCACCCACTCGGAGCTGGGCGGCAAGCCGGTCACCGAGCTCATCTACGTGCACAGGTGAGGGCCGGTCCTCCGAGGACAGCTGGTGGCGGGCGGGGCCAGCCGAGCTCAGGTCACAGGTGAGGGTCGGTCCTCCGAGGACAGCTGGTGGCGGGCGGGGCCAGCCGAGCTCAGGTCACAGGTGAGGGTCGGTCCTCCGAGGACAGCTGGTGGCGGGCGGGGCCAGCCGAGCTCAGGTCACAGGTGAGGGTCGGTCCTCCGAGGACGGCTGCTGGCGGGCGGGGCCAGCCGAGCTCAGGTCACAGGTGAGGGTCGGTCCTCCGAGGACGGCTGCTGGCGGGCGGGGCCAGCCGAGCTCAGGTCACAGGTGAGGGTCGGTCCTCCGAGGACGGCTGCTGGCCGGCGGGGCCAGCCGAGCTCAGGTCACAGGTGAGGGTCGGTCCTCCGAGGACGGCTGCTGGCCGGCGGGGCCAGCCGAGCTCAGGTCACAGGTGAGGGTCGGTCCTCCGAGGACGGCTGCTGGCCGGCGGGGCCAGCCGAGCTCAGGTCACAGGTGAGGGTCGGTCCTCCGAGGACAGCTGGTGGCGGGCGGGGCCAGCCGAGCTCAGGTCACAGGTGAGGGTCGGTCCTCCGAGGACGGCTGCTGGCGGGCGGGGCCAGCCGAGCTCAGGTCACAGGTGACACCCGGTCAGGTCCACACCTGATCGAACCGCATCGCTGCCGGCACAGGCGCCCGGTCCGTGGCTGCGGATGGTCTGTCGGTGGTCGGCGCACAATCTCAGCCTCGGTGTCGATGGCTGGGGTCGATGTCGGCCTCGGTGTCGATGGCTGGGGTCGATGTCGGCCTCAGTGTCGATGGCTGTGGTCGAGATTGACGATGTGTCGATGGCTGGGAATGATATCGGCCTCGTTGTCGGTGACTGGGGTCGATGTCGGCCTCGGTGTCGGTGGCTGGGGTCGAGATCGACGCTGTGTCGATGGCTGGGAACGATATCGGCCTCGGTGTCGGAGGCTGAGATCGATGTCGGTCTCAGTGTCGATGGCTGGGGTCGATGTCGGCCTCGGTGTCGATGGCTTGGGTCGATGTCGGCCTCAGTGTCGATGGCTGGGGTCGATGTCGGCCTCAGTGTCGATGGCTGGGGTCGATGTCGGCCTCAGTGTCGGTGGCTGGGGTCGATGTCGGCCTCAGTGTCGATGGCTGGAGGTCGATGTCGGCCTCGGTTTCGATGGCTGGGGTCGATGTCGGCCTCAGTGTCGATGGCAGGGAGTCGATGTCGGCCTCGGTGTCGGTGGCTGGGGGTCGAGATTGACGCTTTGTCGCAACAAGTCGCGTGTATCATGTTGCAAATGTGTAGCCACATGATGTCGATGATCCCGAAAGCCTTCGCTTTTAGTTGCCAGCTGTTAGAGCGCGCTGGTGCAGTATATGCTGCATACCTGTGTACTCGGCTGTGACAGATTGTGCGTGACTTGTAGGTGACCGCCTTTTCCGATCTGGCTGCTTTATTTTGTCAGCTAGATAGTCGATATGTGCACCAGCTCATTCCGCCTACTCACACATGAAACGCTAGCTCACTGCGCTCTGACACGCCATTGCTCGACCTGTGCGCATTTATCCCGTTCCGTTTCGGTCAGCGCGTCTCCCTGAGCCCTGTGGTGGTCTCTGCGGGTCCTCGCAACTCACGATCTGTGTGTGCGCGTGTTTTGCAGCAAGCTGATGATCGTGGACGACGACACGGTCATCTGCGGCTCGGCCAACGTCAACGACAGGAGCATGATGGGCAACAGGGACTCCGAGGTCTGCATGGTCGTGGAGGTGAGCACCGGGGACGGGCCGGCGAAGCGGCGTCACGCGCGTGCGCGGCGGCCTGTGTAGGTCCGAGGTCGTGGTCGCGAACGGGCGGTGGCTTGTGACGCGGCAGCCAGCTCGCACTCTCGCGGTGCCGGACTGAGGGACGTCTGGCGGCCTGTGTAGGTCCGAGGTCGTGGTCGCGAACGGGCGGTGGCCTGTGACACGGCAGCCGGCTCGCACTCTCGCGGTGCCGGACTGAGGGACGTCTGGCCAGGACACGGCCACGGCGTAAGGCCGCCGGTTCGCACGCGCCCCGTGACGTCACACCGACACTGAGACCGGTGACGTCACCGACCGGCTGGCCGCCCCCGCAGGATCTGGAGTTTGACGAGGGCGTGATGAACGGCGAGGCGGTCAAGGTGGGCAAGTACGCGGGGGCCATGCGCCGTCACCTGTTCAAGGAGCACTTGGGTCTGCTGGAGACGCCCAACGACGACGTGGACGTCAACGACCCGATCAGCGACGCCTTCTACAAGGGCGTCTGGCTGAAGGCGTCCAGCAAGAACACGGACGTGTTCGAAAAGGTGGGTTGGGCACGGGGTGCTGGGACTCGGCTGGCGGGCTTTGGGTCAAGCCCCGCAGGGGCTGTCACATGTCCCTGGTGTATTCGGGAGGAATTGATGAGACCGTGACTGGATGCTGTCCAGATGGGTCAATGCATGAAAGAGCCAGCGCATGTGCCGACCTCGTGACGGGGCCAGCCGGCTGCTGGCTGGCGCAGCTGGGCGCCGTGCTCCGCTCTGCTGACGGTCGGCCGCCTCCGTCCGCGCCAGGTGTTCCGCTGCATCCCGACGGACTCTGTCAAGAGCTTCGCCCAGCTGCAGACGTTCCAAGCGGAGGTGCCGCTGGTGCTGTCGTACCCGTCGCGCGCCAAGGAGATGCTCAAGGACATACGGGTAGGTGGCGTGGGGTGCTGGCCGGCCGCGCGGGGCCCCTGTGATCGTCAGGACGGCTCGACTGTACCGCCCGATGAGCGCTAGCTGGCATGCTGGTGGGTCCCCCGTGACTCGCGCCCTAGCAGCAGCGCAGTAGTGCTCGCGTAGCCTCACGGTTTGGTCCGGTACAACCTCTGATTGACAGGCTTTGGCCGTCTGAGCGACGCCATTTTTCCTACGCCGTTTGAGCTACGCTGTTTTACCTACGCCGTTTTAGCTACGCCGTTTTAGCTACGCCGTTTAGCTACGCCCTTTTAGCTACGCTGGTTTAGTTGGCCGTTTTAGCTCTACGCCGTTTTAGCTCTACGCCGTTTTAGCCACGCCGTTTTAGCTACGCTGTAGATAATGATATGCCTTGAAATGTGCGGCGTTCTAGAGAAACGGTGTCGGCTGGCATGCCGTGTGCCCATTGCTGGATAACCCTAACCACCTAACAAAGGACGCTACTGCTGTGTAAATAGCTGCGGTGGCGTCCTCGCGGTGGACGCGTCCTCCCGATCCGTCGTCCATAGCTGACACTTCTGTCGACTGTCACACTCTTCGAGCATGTGTAATGGAGCTTTGAAGGCCGTTCAACGCACCTTTCCTCGCAGTTCCGTCGTCCCTAAACTGCATCGCAGCGTGTGCCTGGCACTAACCCATTGCTGTGCACACACCACGGCTCGGCGAGCACGCCATCCCAGCCGGGACGGTGGGCGGCGCCGGCCCAGACAGGCATGCCACCACGCCATTGTACATAGCAGCTTGCAGACTAACCGGCCGGCGGCTGAGCCGCGCATGCGCCGTTCACCGGCCCGCTCACCGCCTCCGCCTGTGACCTAGGGCCACCTGGTGCTCCTGCCCCTCCACTTTCTGTGTGACGCGGAGCTGCGGCCGGCCCGCGGCACCAAGGAGGCGCTCATGCCCACCGCCCTCTGGACCTAGCGGTAGGTGTCGGCGCGCCAGGTAGGTGGCGCTGTCGTGACGTCGGGGCGGTGGCGGGCGCGTACCGGGACGCTCCGGCTGGCGGGTAGGTGGCGCTGTGGCGATGTCTGGGCGGTGCCGGGTCCGTGCCGGTACGCCCCGGCTGGTGGATAGGTGGCGCTGCGTGCAGAGACGGGTGACGGAGTAGTGACGTGGGGGCAGGTGACGTATTGTGTGCTGAAGTGGAGTCTCGCGCTCTGTCGCCGCTGCGGGTGTCGCGTGCTCCACACAACGCTATGGGACGTCTGGAACGCGGCGGGCTGTGCGAGAACGCAGCGTTGCCAACTCAGGTGACTGTGAGGACCCCTGTCCTCGCCTTCCGCCGAAATTGGAGCCGACAGGCCCCGAGGAGGGCTGAGTGGCGAGTCGTTAGTAGTTGGTCGTCGCTGGCTTGTGATTCGAAGGCTGGTTTACACTCCACCAGCATGCTGAAGAACCTCAAGTCAGCCTCTTTCGAGATATGACATTAATCCTCGTACATTTGGTGTTCTTTTATTGGGAAAAGTGGGCTTATGCAAACCACTTAAATGATGTGTCGAGCCGATGTATCCGTATAGAGTCGAGGTTGCCAGATTGGGCAAATAAATGTATGTGGTTGTGTCCCGAACGCCCGCTTAACGCCTGAGATGCTTAACCCAAATTGCTAGATGAGCTGGGTTACAATAGCAGTTTGGTTGTGACGTTTTGGGTTGTCTAGTATTACCGTCTTTATTTATGCTGTGTGATAGTTATGACTATGCACACAAAGACAACCTTATGTCACTCAAAGCTGTAAGCCGCAATGGCTTACAGTTCGCTGACCAGCTTTTTAGCTAATCACTGTATGATAATACGCCGCTGCTGCCCATTTTTTTTTGCCCGGCGTTTGTAATGTCGTGGATTCCTTGTTTCGTCGCCTGCTTGCTTGCATTTGTTGTCCCTGGTTGTTGTGTTTGCGTTGAAGGTTTGAAAGTGATAGACCGCGTGCGACTGACCAAGGCGAGCGGTAGACTTGCTGTGTGTGCCAGCGCCAACAATCGCGGTACCTACTGGTAGTAATATTAGCTGCTTCCACACACACATTGTTTTTTAAAACATCTAGATCATTTAAAGTGAATGGAACGTTGACGGGCGCAGGTGGTATTATGTGCGGTGTCGAGGGAGTATTTCCAGTCACCAGATTTGGACTCAAACTTGGAGAAAGTGGTTTCATATAGGCGAACGCTAGAATTACGTGCAACCCGATACGCATGCGGTGCTCATTTTGTAGCGATTCAAATTCATGCAAAACGTTGAACCTTGCATGTCTCTGCGAACTGGTATGGGCGAAGACGCACTGTACTCACTGCTGGGGCTTCAACCAAACGGCATGCATTGCTGACCCGGTGGAGATGGTTACTGCACGGTGCTTGAGACACTTTCCCGCCCCCCCCCCCCCAAATCTCCTGCATTGCGGGTAGCGTGTGCGAGCGGTCCCCGCCGCACGACTGCCCGTCCCCCTCCGCATCCGCTAACCCGGAACGCTGCCGTCGACAGGGTCACCTGGTGGACCTGCCGCTGGAGTTCCTGGAGTCGGAGGACCTCACCCCGGACCTGGGCACCAAGGAGGCGCTGGTGCCCACCTACATGTGGACGTAGACGCGGCGCGAGGCAGGACCGCCCGCAGCGGTGGCGGCCGCCGTCGCCGTCAGCTCCCCGCGGCCGGACGCCAGCGCTGGTCTCCTGTTGAACGTCCCGTGCCGCGACCGGCCCGCGCTGCCTCTCAGCGCAGGCGGAGGTGCCGGTGTGTTTTACCTGTCGCTGTGATGTTCCCTCACGCCTCGCTGCCAGCTGAGACTTGTTGCCGATCGCCTTGCCTTGAGATCGGGTCAGAGTTGGCGTGTGGACATGGCCGAGAGCTGGGGTGCACGCGAAGACATGAGACCGCTTGTGCCGCCTGCAGCGTGACTTGCGCGGCGTGAGTAGGCCTAGGGCTGGTGTTCTGTTTGTGAGGGCCCACGTAAAGACCGGGAGTCAACTGCAGCAGTGTTGCAACCGTGGGCTCAGAAATGCCCGGTTCATGCTCGGCTAGGCACTCGCCGACCCTGGTGCGCACGATGGATACGTCAGACTGCATTCGCGGCTCCGCGACGCTGTTGCCGCCTGTCGGAGGCGTCGGGAACTGACGCGGGCTGGGCTCGGTCGCCGCCGGCCGGCTTCTGCCGCCGCGCTCGGTCGAGCCGGCTGCGGCCACGCCGACCGTCGGGCTTGGCGGTCGGCTGGCCTGTGTTCCTCGCTCACCGCTCTGGCCGCAGTTCAGGCGGCCGGGGTGGAGGCGGCGCGGTGGTACGGGTCTGTGTCTGGTGTCGGGCGTGGTCTTGGCTCTTCTGACATGGCGGGCGTCGCCGCCGCGTGTTGGTGATTACCATACAATCTGTCGTCCTCCCGGGGGGCGGGCGGCGTCAGCAGCAGACTTCGCCCGCCGTCCCCCGTCGTCGGTCCACTCCCCACCACTGCGTGGCCGAAGGGTCGGCCCCGGCGGTGGCGCTCTGCTATTGGCTTGGGTTCTCTCACAGCTGCATAAGCCTGCACTCACGCTGAGGTAAACGACACAGGGGTGGGTGTTGGTGTGCTGGCGCAGCGGTGCGCTCGTTGATCCGACAGCCGGTGGCTGCGCAGCGCTCATTGTGTTGTGACCCCTGCCGGTCACTCCGCGACGCCAGGCAGCTGCCACCCCCTCCCTCGCCTTCCCTCCACCCCTCGTGGGGCTAGATGTCTACGCACATTAGTCGTCAGGTAGCGTGTTGTTTTTACTAGAGCAGCTTTATTGCCGTTTCTTTTGTTGTCCCTCTTGTGTGTGAGGAGCCGCCGAGCGCCTGTTTGCTGTTTAAGCCCGCTGGATGCTATCACTATTGTTAAGTGCCTTTCGAAATATTCGGTCAGCTGGGCGGAAGCCGTAGCCGGCAAAGAATCCGTCGTTTTCAGTGTGAACCACACATGCGCACCCATCTTGGGTTCAGGTTGGGTTTGGAATTGCTTTACCGGACGGGTCGTGCCGGTAGTATGTCATGTCATCCGCCTCGACGCACCGATGGCTTTTGCGTCGGTCTATGCACGTAATACCCGTGCCAAGTGAAAGCCTTTGGAACCAGCGGCTGCTATATGTATGCGATGTTACGCATACGAATTACAGAGTGGCAGTCAGTCATCAATCGGTGTTGTCCCCGTATTCGCGAATCGTGCAAGAGTAACTGGCAAGATATGGTCATCGCGTCAGTGTTCAAATATATGTCCTCCACATTTACGAACACCGTGCGGCGAAGCTGTAGCTGAGATGCCAGCTCATCTGAAAATGTTTTAAGACCGCTGAAAACGACCATGGCAAATGGTTGAGTAACTTTGCTATCAATCTACTGTTAGCGTAAGATAATGCAGCGAGTAATTATCCGCAGCGCGAGCGTTCGGTTTTACTTCGAACATCGAATGTAGTATGCATGCGTGCGATAGGGGTGCAAAAATACACTTTTATAAGAGGGCGTGTGTTTGACACGCGGCGGGCAGTCCGTGGAGGAGGGCTTGCGGCGCCGCTGCCGGCCGCCACAGGGCTTCGCGCGACGTCTGCGGCGCGGCGCGCAGCGCGTGACCAGTGCCGGCCGGGTATGAGAGCGGCGATGGGGTGCAGGTGGTTCAACTCCACTGGGGCAGCACTGCAACTCATTGTTCACTTCCGTGTGGGGCTTTAATATGTCATTGTAGTGATTGGTTTGCGTTGTTCCGGTGGTCAGAAATATATTATTGCACCAACAAGCTGCCGTTTCGAATTGGCGGCACCAGGTGGCATGCGTCCGCTTAGACAGCCACGTGGCCCCTTGGGTATTGGTAACAACAGCAACGCGATCTTTGTTGCAAGACAGCCAACCAGGTGCGACGGGCCGCCCACGCGCGCTCGCCCAATACTATGCAAGACATATTTATATAGTTGGTCCGGTGTTAACATTCATGCGAAGCACACAATGCATAGCCTGAACACGAAAATATCACGTTTATATTTTTTGAATGGCTTCAAATGTTTCGCTCAGTCGATGACTTCATTCACGATACTTCGTGAGCAGATAATGCTGCGGGTGTGCCAAATCCCTCACTAAGTTGTTGCCGTCCGAGTCCACGAGATAATTTGCCCTCGGTCCCGTTACCAGGACCGTGCCCTAGTGGACCGACGACGTGACCGTGCCCTAGTGGACCGACGACGTGACCGTCCCCTAGTGGACCGACGACGTGACCGTCCCCTAGTGGACCGGCGACGTGACCGTCCCCTAGTGGACCGACGACGTGACCGTCCCCTAGTGGACCGACGACGTGACCGTCCCCTAGTGGACTGACGACGTGACCGTCCCCTAGTGGACCGACGACGTGACCGTCCCCTAGTGGACCGACGACGTGACCGTGCCCTAGCGGGCCGACGACGTGGCCGTCCCCTAGTGAGCTGCCGACGTGGCTGTCCCCTAGCGGGCTGACGACGTGACTGTGCCCTAGTATGCTGACGACGTGACCGTGCCCTAACGGGCTGATGATGTGGCCGTCCCCTAGTGAGCTGCCGTGCCGATGTGGCCGTCCCCTAGCAGACTGGCGACGTGGCTGTCCCCTAGTGGGTTGACGACGTGACCGTGCCCTAGTGGGCTGACGACATGACCGTGCCCTAATGGGCTGACGACGTGACTGTCCCTTAGTGAGCTGACGACGTGATCGTGTCTTAGTGGGCTGACGACGTGATAGTGCCCTAGTGGGCTGACGACGTGACCGTGCCCTAATGGGCCAACATTACCAGCCGATCGTCGCATTTACCCAGCCCAAACAATGCGCCCGTTTTGGAGCTTGTATCCAGCGCGAAAGCTAACCCAATTTATGCAAAGTGCCGTATTGGATCCTCAGCATCTTTCCCTTGGGCAAATGTCAGCTACGCCGAGATCCTGACATAGAAATGGCGACACAAATGTACATATAAATACGACATCTTCGTATATCATGCCTGTGAGATAGACTATGTACGCATGGACGATGCTGCGTTAAGATAATTATCATATAAATAAAGCGAATATGATAAGTAAATGAGCAAATTTGTTATCCTATTTTGTGTGTTCAAAACATCGCATCACTCTCTTTCGTGTTGCAAAAATGCGCTGTGACGGAATTCGCAGCTGCGTTTTGTTAGGACAGGGTACGATGAAGTGTGTGAAAGGTACGTGATAGACCTAAAGATGTACGCAGATGTCCTTAATAGCATTCGCTGCGGCTCAAAGGCCTATTCGCGTTTCCAAACTTCGTCAGCGTCAAGCTAGGCGTCGACGAATTTTCGCCTGGGTAAAACTTAGCATGCACTGCGGTATTGTTCTTGTTTGGCTGAGCAGTTTTTCGCGTCACACATATTCGCCAACGCAATTCTCCATGCCGCGTTCCCTTTGTTATGCGAATGTCCCTCATGCATTTGTGAACCTAGCATTCCCTTTATGCGGTTTTCAGCATCCCCGCCTCTACGTACGGAATTTTTCGTATGGTGCTCTTTTGATCGAACGATTCGTGGTATGCATTTTCTCACCATTTATCTGATACGTGCGACCCGTTGCGGGAATATCCGGAACCAATAATGGGAGGTGTTTGGACACTGCTGTTCGCATGGGCCGTGCTTAAGGCCGTATAAGGGGGCTAAAACGCGGAGAGCTAAAGTGATTCTCGTTTTATCTTCGCTTAACGTTAGCGTGGCGTCACTGGTGTCACACGTCACTGCCGATACTTCAATGCTCTGCGGGACGCTGGATTTCGGTCGTAATTCTGAGGGGCAACCGGAACGTTAAAATAGTCGTATATATACTTTAAAAAAACTTAGAAAAAAGGCGCATATAACCAGAGAGCCAACCATGTGAAATTTTATGGCGAACATCATGATGAATCTTGCAAGCATATGCGGCAAATTTTCTAAATGCAGTGACATAAAAAGCGAAGACACGCACACAATACTTATTTACGATAGGAAGGTCAGAACATCGCGCTGCCTTTGTGTCCAAAACGAGCAAACTGTTCGTGGCAGACGTATGTGACCAGCAAACCGATTGCGCAGAATTCAACGACAAGTATAATGACGTATGTGGCAACCTTCAGCCATTCAGCCATTCAGCCACATACCCACGTATGTGGCAACCTTCAGCGCACTTTGATTTTCTACGGCCCCGTAACCCGAGGCCGTGCCGCCGCCGGTGGTGCGAGTGAGCGGCGAGCGTGGCGAGTCTGAATCGTCTGCTGCAGCTGAGCAGCGGGGCTGCAGCGTGGAGAGTCTGTTGTTTGCTGCAGTGCAGACGCCGTGCCCGGTCTGTACCTGTCTGCGGGGCCGACCTTGCTCGTTGCGTACCTGTCCACGTGGCTGCCGTGCTCGGGACGTGGATATCCACATACCGCAGTGCTCGGTCCGTGGCTGTGTGCACAGTCATCGTGCTCGGCCCGTGAACACCTACATTCCGCCGTGCTCGGCCTGTACCTGTCTGCGGGGCCGACCGTGCTCGGTTCGCACCTGTGCGCGAAGCTGTCAATGCTCGGTCTCCACCTGTCTGCATAGTCACCACGAGTGTCGGGCTACGAATGTCGCGTTTAGCAACGTTTTTGTTGCGTGTAGCAGACGTCGCTATGTTTAGCGCCGAATTGGCATGCGGGTAGACCTACAGATAGAAGAAACCATCTGCAGATAACAGTAGACAAACCGGGATGCAGAGCGCGATATGTACCTGATGCGGCCTGTTTAGCCGGAACAGCTTCAACGGTACTGCCGACGAATCTTCGTGCGTACACGAATACGGTGCGCTCCAATGATAGCATTGATCTGAGCATAGCTTCAAAAGCCGCGATGATGTGTACCCACAGGCTGTCACGTGTACGAACCTCACAGGCCGCACGCGCGCTGTGTGAACCTGGCTCATCGCTGGCTTGTGTTTCGGCTGTCGGTCGTCTCTTGCTCAGTCCTCCGTGGGAACATTTGGGCCCCGTCATAAAAGGTGACCTTTCCCGGGTTAACAGCTTCACGTAACACTGCTGCTCAACCCCCGCAACAAAACAACTTTACGATCAGCGCTCAGCGTAGGGTGCTAGCCGGTCCCCGCATATGCGCAGAGGTAACGGAAGTTCTCGTAAGTTGGAGAGGGAGAGATAGCTACTTTGCTTGCTTCCTTCCTGTCAACGCCTATTTGGCGAATGCTTAATTTTTCTGGCTACTTCCCACGCCGATAAGTTTAGTGGTTTTGTTGAATGCAGCTCACAAAGTACATGAGCACACTTACCATTCATTCCATTTAATTGGTTTGCGGATATATTCACCTATCATTAAAATATATTTGTTACCGGTACTTTAAAACAGCAGCCAGATGTTCAGGCTATCTAGACCAGCAGCTCACGCTTGCACGTATTCACTTTTCACGTTGATTGAATTTTAACCACTTGGCATATAAGCTTGCAGTGATACCATCATATTCCTAATTAAATTATGTGCATTCGGATCTGTTGTTATGCGCAGCTGCCCTCAACAGTTTGCTCACTATCATTACGAAGGTAGTTCGGTGTCCCGGCCGCCCATCTCTGCAGTAGGTCGCGCATTAGCGTGCTCAATTTCCGTGCCGATTTTATTGTGGGGGGGGGGGGGGCGACCGCATAAGCTTGCCAAATCACGTCATAATATTTAACGTTGAATTCTACGCGATTCGTTTGCCGGTATATGCACATGTCGCTAACAATTTAGTCATTATCAATACGAGGAGAACTCGATGTTCTGGCCGTCCCATTTCCATGGTTCTTGTGTTTACCCATGACATTTTCATGTCATTGTTCTTGAATGGTTAGCAGCACAGCCTTACAAACCACAGTTCCAAGCTCGCCATTAAATTCCTACGTAGTTGGCTCGATAGTATATGTGCACCTGGCGTTAACAGGTTGTACGTTATCTACACGAGGATTTCCGATGTCCTGGCTGCCCCGCGGCTTTACGCACTAACGCCGGCGGCCGCGCCGTGTTAACTCTCGGCACCAGCGATGTCACCGCCCTGTGCAGAGCGGACGAAACCCCGACTAGGGCAAACCCTATGCACGGCATTCTCTTCGCTGGGAAAACGAAGTATGGGACAATGCAACCTTACAGCTAGAAATTATCCGCAAGCTTCCAATTACGAATTTAATGCAGATGACGAAGAATGCTGAAATAGCATAGTTGCAAACGCTGATACGACGCCAGATCATTGCCACTGGCGTGAGCCGCAACAGGTATTTATTTTGCGCCTGTTCGTCGAGCAACACGATCGCGTGCTCTTCTTTCCTGACCGTTGGCATCATGTAGAGTGACGACAATATTTCAAAGTCTTGTTTATGCTATATATATAATATATATATATATATATATATATATATATATATACATGTATAGTCATGTGCACCTCTCGTCAACAAGATGTATGCTATCTGAACGGAGATGTTCGATGCTACTGGCTGCCCCTCGGCTTTACGCAG